AACATACTCATTTAAAAAATTCAAAGAGGTTCAGGAGCAAAGAGGGTTTTTCAACTTCCATTCTAAAAAGTTTATTGAAGATAATTTACCTTTATTTCACCTGTTAAAGAATTCTCTGAATATTTCTCCAATTTGTCAGTTATAATGTAGTGTTTGGTTTCTTTCTTTAACCATATTTCTCATTGTTAATTTTTTCTTCTATATAATATTTTATTCACTAAGAAGTAGGACGTCTCAAAATAGCCTGGGAAAAATGGAGTGGTACTTTTGTTTCTCTGAAAGTGATTTCAGCTAGTATGACTTACAAAATAAAGTTTGAGTGACAGCTAGACTCTTAAAGGGTATAGCACACATAGGAGTGGGTGAAGGTGAAGAGAGTAAGGCACATGTAACAGAAAATATCCAGTTCATTTCTAGGGTTGGCCTATTGCAAGTTTCAGTATTCGCAAACCAAATTTGGTGGTCTCCAGAAGAGTTATGTTTTATTTAAAAATCACACAGGGCTCTTTGGAACTAATAGAAAATCTGTTTATTGTTAATGGGTATAGCAGAAGACACAAAGGGATTGTGATGTAAAAATGCAAAGGTATAGGATTTCTGTTCAATAGAAGGCATCACACTGATCAATGAGTGTGCATTTGGATATCTTTATACGGCAAACTCAAAAGAAACAGTGCCAAGGTTAGCTCTTCCTAGCAAGAACTCTTCTCTAGGTCACTGTTACATGTTCTTTGAGTTCTCATTATCAAATACACAGATAAGGCTAAAGGGAACCTTGTACTATATACAACCAAGATTCCCTTTTATTGGAAGGAAAATATTTTTGTGTTAGAGTTTTTCTTTTTGGTTTTTCTGATGAGAAAATTTTAATGTTAATAGTGTCAGTCTCCTGGAAATCTCTGCTTTGTGAGTTATAACTCTGAATGAAAAATTTTATTCTCACTTGTGTTTTGGATATTGTTTTAAGGAAACATCAGTATCAACACATTTTCACTCAAGTCTACTTCAATATAGACCAAGAATCCAAAAAGTAAACAGCACAGTCATTAACAAAATACCTATAAATTTGGTCTGTACTTTAATTGTATGGATATTCTATAATTTATTTATTCAACAAACTTTGTCCAGTACCTACTCTCGGCCATACTGTGGATACAGAGATAAACATACAAGCATGTAAATAGACAATGGTTCCTTAGGAGTCCCTGGGTGGTGCAAACAATGAACACTCTTGGGTGCTAAGCAAATGTTTGGTGGTTTGAGTCCATCCAGAGACAGCTTGGAAGGAAGGCCTGGCAATCTAGTTCTAAAATATCAGTGACTGAAAACTATATAGAACACAGTTCTACTCTGGGAGTCACCACGAGTCAGAATGCACTCTAAAACAACTGGTTTTAATGGTCGGTACAATGCTCTACTTGGTGGCCAGAGGAGGTCAAATTAAGGTCAAAGGATGGGAGAGGCATTAATTAGGTTTTCCAGGTCACCAGGCAAGAAGGAAAGTACAGAATGGGACAGTTCAGGCTGAGATCACAACACATACAAGTGCTTAGTTATATACAATAGTATGACTCTTTTCAGGAAATAGTGGTAATTCAGTATTCAGGATGAGAATGAAGAGAATTGTTGTTGTTGTTGTTAAGTGCCATCGAGTTGGACCCGACTCATAGTGACCCCTCCTTGGGTTTCCAAGGTGGTATCACTACAGAAGTAGATTGCCCAACCTTCCTTCCGAGGAGTGGCTGGTGGGTTTGTACTGCCAGCCTCCTGGTTAGCAGTCAAGTGCCTTAGGCACTATGCTACCAGAATTCCTATGGGAGATATTAATGAGGAAAAAAAAAAAAACTATTACCATGAGTAATTCCAACTCATACTAACACCCATAGGGTTTCCAAGGCTGTAAGTACTTATGGAAGCAGACTGCCTTGTCTTCCTCCAGAGGAGTAGCTAGTGAGTTTGAACTGCCAAGCCAACCTTTTGGTTAGCAGCCTGAAGCCATATTAACCACAGTGCCACCAGAGCTTCTTTTTATAGAGAAAAAGGAGGGTCAAATCTTGGACACCAATTCATGCCTTTCTAAAAAGCTTAAATCTCAGAAGATTAGGCTTTATCTGTATGAATGTGTAGATATAAAAAAATTATATTATTATTATTAAGAGCTTGTTTTACATTCAACATAACATGCACATTTAGTTTCATTCCCTATTTACCATGACCAACCCTAACCCAGTCTCATTCCCTCCCTACACTGTAACCCTCTCCCTGTGCCCCTCATATTTATGCACTCCTGTTTGTTCTGCATTTCCTCAGTTTGAATGTTGGTCCTCTGGTGACCCATGGTCTATTGCTCTAAGAGATGTATTACCATAGAGCATGTGGGTGCGTCATCCTCGGTTGAGTGGTCTTTGTGTACATCTTGTTAACTATTGGGCTGAGAGCCTGCCCCTGGGGGTGAGTTTTATTCCAGTGCAGAATGTATTCCAGGGCCATAGTATTGGCACTCTCACTAGATTTAATCTGACCAGTAATTCTGGTCATTATTGAGTTTTTGGATTTTGTTTTACATTTTCCCTCCCACTCTATGCAGGATCTCCAGATTTGATCCTTTCCTCAGTGGTTGTCATTGGTAGCCGGGCACCATCTAGTTCTTCTGGTCTAGAGGGCCATCGTGTCCTAGGGCTGATTGCTTCTAAATGTCCTTGGGTTTTTTTTTTTTTTTTGCGTTCTTTTTTACTTCCGACACTAGGAGACTGTTAGCTGCATCTTAGATGGCCACTTGAAAGTTTTGAAGACCCCAGTCGCTACTCACCAATGTAGGATGTGGAGCAACACCTTTAAGTATTCTGTTGTGCCAATTGAGTCTGGTGTCCCCCAGTACTATGGTCCTGAGGCAGTAGATCTATTGGATCTTTCTCCCATAGTGTCTGGTTGTCTATGTGGGATTACTCTATGTCTGTCTCCTATTGTTTCTGAAAGGACTACAGGTATTTTGTATCACTGGTGTCTGTGCAAGATTAGCCTCAGCTGAATCTATCCCTGATCTAGAGGATACTTCTGTTCACTGACCCCCGTCTGATCATCTCAGGTGTTTATGTGTCTATCTGTATAGCCTATTGTTTGGTGTTAACAGCAATGTGGTATTGTGGAAACATTGATTGGTATTAACATCTGTCGTCTACCTCTTGTGTGCACAATTCAGTGTCTTCTTACTTCCTAATGTTATTACGGTGGTCATAAATCCTTCCTGTATATCCCTCCCCCTACCTATGTCAGTGTGTTGGCCCCAACTAGCCTGAAATTAATCCCTCAGTTTCCCTCCCCACCCCAGTAACCAACTAGGTGAGTTCCCTTTCCCAAGCAAACTCTTCTTTGTCTTTTTACAGTAATGGGCTCATACAGTACTTGTCCTTCTGCAATTGACTTATTTCACTCAGCATAATGTCCTCCAGGTTCACCCACATTGCGAGATGATTCATGTATCCCTCATTGTTCTTTAATGTGGCATAGTATTCCATTGTGTGGATATACCATAATTTGGTTATCCACTCATCTGTTGATAGGCATTTAGGTTGTTTCCATCTCTTTGCTACGGTGAATTGTGCTGCGATGAACATAGGTGTACATGTGTCTGTTTGTGTGTTATCTCTCACCTCTTTAGGATATATTCCTAATAATGGAATTGCTGGGTCAAATGGTACTTCTATTTTCAGTTTTTTAAGAAAACACCATACCATTTGCCACACTCATAAACAATTTTAAAGAAAAATGTAAAGTAAGTAATTGATTCAATTCTTTTTACTCACTTGCAGCAATACATTCTTTACTTTTTTGTAGTCTTGCCTGTTTTGCTCCCTGTCCTCCAAGTCCAAAACAAGATCTTCTGTTTCATCAGGGTCTATTTGTGTAGCTTAAAATCTCTGCAATTCTCTCCTTCTATGTGGGAAATCCAGATTCAAATACCAGTCAATGCACCTCCAGTGCAACCACTACTTTTCTCTCAGTGAAGCCTCTCATGTTGCTATGATCCCTAACAGGTTTCAGGAGAGCTTCCAGTCTAAAGCAGATTAGGAAGAACAATCTGACCTACTTCTGAAAACCAGCTAATGGAAACCTTATGGATCATGAAAGTCAGAGTCCATTATACATGAGGTCACCATGAATTGGGGGTCTACTTAATGGCAGCTAATAACCACATCAGTGCTCCGTTACCGCAAGATCCTGTTAAATGACAGAAGTCAACAATTCAAGCTAATATGTTAGTGAAAAAAACAAACAAACAAACAAACAAAAAAAAAAAAAGATTTAACTCCAGAGGAGCCATGGAGAAAATCTAGGTTTAATCTCTCAGTTTTCAACTTGAGACACCCCTTTTGGCCAACAAGGAAATTAGTATTAGAAGTGATGCCCATTTTACTTTGCAATGATTTTTTTTTAATTTCTCTAAGAATTAGCATCACTTAAAAAGAATTATATATGACTCATTTAGTTCTACACAACTAAGCTTACATTTAGAAGCCATTGCCAGAAAACCTTGCCTTTAGGAAAGCAAGTAACTGAGCTGTCAAAAAGTCAACAGTTACCTAATTGCTCTGGGAATTACAATGAAGTTATGGCAGTTAGGCTACTGAGGAAAGATTTGGTTTACCCAGGCATTCTGAAGCAATGTTTTCATCCAGTGGGAGAGACTGCCAGTAAAGGAAGAATGACAATTTACATACCGTGCAAGGCTAATCTGCCCTGTGTCTGAGTCATAGCCTGCTTACTTGAGACATCCTGGGAAATCCCTTTTTGGAAGAGAAGAAAAGTTGAAAATCACAGTTGTTGTCCTTATAATCTTACTCTGTGTACTTCATGTAGTCACTGCTGTTCATTTTTAATGAAAAATTAAGCTGTTATTTTCTATCATGATTTAATTTTTTGAAAAAATTATGTATTTGGTCTCACCCTAAAGAATACCATAAGAGACGTTTTTTCTTCTTTCTTTCTTTCTGCTTTCTAAGACTCCAGTGAAAACAGCTTCCCTGGCACATTTTGTACAGGGCACAACTAGAATGAGTGGTGTAGAAAGTTCTACGGAGCATGCAGAGGTAAGAACACATTTCTGGGAGATAAGTTGACCATACCTAGTGTGGATAGCATTTCTAATAGTTAACTACGAAACAATTCATAAGAATAGAAAATTATTAATTTGTTTTCTTTAGCTAAGAGCTGCTCTATGATTTTTTTACAAATGTTATTTAACCAAGAAAAAGTTATCTGGGTGACTATTGCATTTCCCTTAACCTCTCTGTGCTACTTTTCTTCTTTTATAAAATGAGAGCATATATCATCTCTAAATTGCTGTTGGGGCCCAAATTCTATGGGTCTATATTTTGCTTTTGATTCAGAGGTATTTGGTAAAATATAACACTTAAAAAGAATGTTATATTGTGGTGTTAAAAAAAAAAAAAAAAACACGTTAGAGTAATGTTGTTGTTGTTGTTTTGCTGTCGAGTCGGCCCCGACTCATAGCAACCCCTCCTTGGGTTTCCAAGTCAGTATCACTACGGAAGTAAGATTGCCCAACCTTCCTTACGAGGAGTGGCTGGTGGGTAGAATATCTATAATAATGTAGTTACAGTTATAAAAGTAATATCATACGTTTTACTCATTTACTGCTTACAAGTAAATTAGGCACAGAATAGATATTTACTGATTGAATGAATGAAAGAAAATGCTTTCTCAAAGTCTTTTAGGGATGACTGAGGAAAATTCATTGGTACATTTAAGTATTTAAGTTAGCAATGTCAGAACTTGCATATCTTTTAAGCTGTTGAGTGATACCATAAATGAGAGAGAGAGAGAGAAAAAAAAAAAAACCCTAGATATTGTTTACATGGATTATACTTTTTAGAGAATAACTGTTCTATAACTGAGCCCATAGAACCAATAACTAAAATCCTTGTATTTGTTGTATTATAAAATGTCTTAATTGGCAACTGGAAAGGAGAGCAAATACAAATGAAAAGTTCTCTCAAAATCTTTGTATTTGATTTTGCTTCATTTTAATATACATCTGAGGTTTTAATTTACATATGAACCATGCTCTAATGTTGAATAATCTCTAGAGAAATCTCTGGTGATGGATTTAGGGCTTACACAACAATTCATATTCACTCTGCTTTTCTATAGAGCTCTGGTGGTGTAGTGGTTAAACTACTTGGCTGTTAAGCAAAAGGCTGGCAGTTCAAATCCACAAGCTGCTCCCTGTTGTTGTTGTTGTTGTTACTTGCTGTTGAGTCGGCCCCGACTCATAGCGACCCCTCCTTGGGTTTCGGAGGCAGTATCACTACGGAAGTAGGATTGCCCAACCTTCCTAGGAGAAAGATTTTACAAAGGCAATCTGCCTCTGTAAAGATTTACAGCCTTGGAAACTCTATGAGGCAATTTTACTCTGGTCTAAAGGGTCACTATGAGTCAGAATTGACTCCATGGCCATACGTTTGTTTTTTGTTTTTTTGATGTTTCCTATTCTTTTACTTCTCCCCTTTGAAACATCTGTGTTCTAACAATCAGTACTTCCACATTGGAAATAGATTCTCTTCTAGGCTTAGAAATTAGCTTTTCAATCATTCTTAATTATAAAATAAAAACATAGGGTCAAAATACTTTATCGTTTTCTGGAGAAAATCATTAAAGATCAAAAAAAGAAAGAAAGAAATGTATACAGATGTTTGCAGGTCATAGATTTTGCCTGCTTCATAAAAAGAGAGGAGGCTTTTTGAGGATCAAAAAATCATATTTCTCCTGGAATGGGGCATCTTGATGTTTAGTGTGAATTACACACAACACAGAAGTCTTCTGGCTCCACCCTCAGATACTCCCTGTTCTCAGTAAACTCCTAAGATGTCTCTGATGCACTCAATCTCATCGTGGTTTCTGCTTTGCTGGACTTAATGCTCACTGAGTAGGAATGGCTTACAGCATTTTTCATATCAAAGATGCCTCATGTTTAGTCTGTTCTGATACAGAATGGGTCCAGTCTCCAAGAAGTCCTTCCTCTAAAAAAAGGAAAACCCAATCACAGATTTTGATGTCATTCTCAACACTCAGCCAACCAGGTTCATAAGATCATGAGCAAGTATAATCATCTGAATTTACTGGCCCACAGAGGAAAATCTCTTTAAAAATAAAAGGAGGTGGTCTTAATTATGCACTGGATCTAAATAGGAGTAGCTAAACAAACTAAGCACTAGTATCTATAGAAATGTAAAATATCACCAAATCCGAAAAAAGCTGAGATATAGACAAATAGACAAAAGATAGAGAAAACTATTTTATAAATGATTTCTAGTGAAAAAAGTTCTGAAATGCCATGATGATTGCAAAAGAGTCAGTTCCTGTAAAAGTTTCTAGCAAAGACCGTGTTTTGAATATATTTCTTTATTATTCAAGAATATTTTTAAGCAATACCATGGTCCACAGTAACTATTGAGTCTGAAACTGAATAGCAGATTAGAGACTACCCTCATCACCTCATTCATTATAATATTTATATGAAATTGAGATGAGATGGTAACAAGTTACAATAGAGAAAACAGTCCTTTACTTAAGTGAGCTCTGTAGGTGGTTGACTTAGGCAGATGGGAAACAAAGTTTGAAGAGCTTTTATGCTTTCTTTAAGTGAACCCACTCACTCTTAAAAAAAAGAAAGAAAGAAAACTGCTTAACTTTTCCACTGTGTCAATGATTCATTATTAATCTAAATGTGTTATTTAATTCAAAGGGCTGGTTAAAATTACACAGAACCCAATAAATCTGCATCCACTTCTATAAGAACGTTTGTGTCTTGGTATTTGAGGTGGTTAATTAATTGCTTGTCTCATTTGGCTGTGTGTATTTCTTTTGTCTTGATGATTCTGTTACTCCTTTGATTTTTGCCAGTGCCACTATTCAGAATCTTATTGGCAATATGGGCACTTAAACAAAAAATAACTTTCTAGAAATGCTTACTATGGAAATACATAAAACGGATCCATGAAGCATACTTGACTTCTATATGCTGTAATACTGTGAAATGTTTTTTAGTTTTTTTTTTTTTTTTTTTTTTTTTTTAGAAAAGGCAAGAAATTCTGATTTCTGGTCTGCCTATATGGCAGTCAACTCTGGTGGTGCAGTGCTTAAGGTGTTTGCTAACCAGAAGACTGCTGGTTCAAACCTACCAGCTGCTTCAGGGAAGGAAATAATCTACTTCCGTAAAGATTTACCACCTCAGAAACCCAATTGGGGTCCCTATGAGTCAGAATCAACTTGATGGCAGTGGGTTTGAGTTTTTCTTGGTATGTAGCAGTCTGCTTCCATAATGACTTAGTCTTGGTACCCTGTGGGGTAGTTCTACTCAGTCCTACAGGGTTGTTATAAGTCAGAATCAATTTGACAACGGTGGGTATAGCTTTTTTTTTTTTTTTTTCCTTTTTCCCCTCCAGGAGGCTTTCTGTTACAGAGATAAATTTATAATTTGTTAACAAATTATTTTGATAATTAATTCATACAGGAATCTAAATTATAATATAAAGCTGATTTGTCAGTGAGTCTCTATGAAAGACTTATAGTGTGAGTGATACTCCTGCAATCAGATATTTTTATAAATCACATTAGAGTTGATCAAATCAATTGCATGAGTTTATGAAGGACTGTATTTCTCCTTTTCCTTTTGAAGACTATTTTGTTTCAATGTTCTGTTGATTTTTTGTTTTTTGAAGTGCACTCAGTCATCAAGAAGAAAGAACTTGACAAATTCTCTTGAACAAAAGATAAAGTGCTTGGAGAAGCAGAGAAAAGAGGTAATTGGGTTGAAAACACATGTGTAATGGATTAATGCTGAGAATAAAATAGAGAATGCATTTATTTTTGTCATTGGCTACCAGTAATTATTCCCAGTATATATTGGATTGTATTTTCTTAAGGGCAAATGCTTGTTATTTACCTACATGTCTCTCACTTGGTCTTTCAGTGTTTGTATAATGATGAATGAGAAATGACAAAGTGATGAGTCCTGGTAATTATAATCCTAATTTCCTCAACATTTGGATGTTTCTTCCACATGGCCCATGTGAGCTTATCACCTGGTCCCTTTATACCTAGCAGCTTGACACACCTTGAAACTCAAACTGTCAAAGGCTTTAAAGTACAGTTGACTTAAGGCATGACGCCAAATGCATAGGAGTTAAGAATCACCATCATAAAAAAAAAAAAAAAAATTGTTTCTGAAGAGATAATGGGTATATGATTGATACTATTCTAAATGAACTGTGTTTTTCTGAGTCTAATGAATGTTATAACCTCTTTACTCTTTTTTGACAGAATAGATAAAAAGTGTAATAATTTAAGCACTGCCTATTTTATAATTCCTTTTCTGAACCATTCTCTTCCATGGTGTCTTTTATCCCTCTTTAATACTGCATAGAATATTGTGATTTGGAAAATTATTATTATAAAAAATTATTATATAGCAGAGTAATGTTACTATGGTATAAAAATGTTTAGTCCTAAAATCCCAACTGATCAAATATCTTTACATGATAGTACTGTACACTCTCATTCTAAATATCCATAACTGTTTCTAGTATAAACATTACCTAGTAACTAGGAGCTCTGGTAGCATAGTGCCTAAGGAACATGACTGCTAACCAGAAGACTGACAGTTCAAACCCACTAGTCACTCCTTGGAAGGAAGGTTGGGCCATCTACTTCCGTAGTGATACTGCCTTGGAAACCCAAGGAGGAGTCGCTATGAGTTGGGTCTGACTCGACGGCATATAACAACAACAACTTTGAACAAGGTATTTTGTCTTTTAATTAGGAGCAAATCCTGCTATTTTTTTTTTTTTTTTAATCACCCTGACTACCTCCCAGGTATTTTTCCTGTATAGAACTAAAGTTTGAATTTCTCTTAATGTGGGAAGTTAGAAACTTCCACTAAAAGAAAATTATGACACAGACCACAGTGTTTTTTGTTCCTTGTATTTAGCATATAGTTTTAACACTTTCAAATTGCTTGCAGATTAAGATATTTCTAAATCTGATCTTATGGCAAAATCAATATTCCATGAAAATATATCACTTCCCAACAGGTGTTTCTCTCTATTAGTTATATATTACAAATCATGTGTTATTTTAAAAACAAATGACTACCAATTAATAAAATCTGGACTCTGTTAGCATAAATTATTCTGCTTTAAAGAAAACTGAAAAAAAAATTCATCATAATAATCAAATACAAAAAAAAAAAGGACTTGCCATCAAGTAAATTCCAAATCATAGAGACCCCCACTGGGTTTCTGAGGTGGTAAATCTTAATGGAAGGAGATTGCCCAGTCTTCCTTCTGCCAAGCAGCTATTGGTTTTGAACCTCTAACCTTCTGGCTACCAGTCAAATGTCCTAGGCACTGTGCCACCAGAACTCCTTAATAATCAAGCAGACACATGCAAAAATATGTAAGTATCTAGTCACACCACCTTTCCTATGGTAATAAAATCTTATGGAAAACCATCAATAATTCCAAATTTTTAGCAGATTCTGGCTGGATTAATCAATAAATAAATAGGTGAAAATTCAAATAACTAAGAAGAGTTAAAAGTGGCTGAGAAACTGCTTAGCTAACTAGTCCAAGTATACCCAGGACTTAAATGTTTTTTCACAAGTTGACTCAGTTATGAAAAGGAAAGGGTATGTTCAGTTAAATCATCTCAGCCCAACAAGATCTTGGTAGAAGAAATCCTGTCTTCACTTATGGTTTCCAAAAAGTGATTTTATTTTGACCAAATTTCTAAATGGACATAAATTCTTTATTGATTCACCAAACTTTGATAATTTCAGCTCCTGGAAGTGAACCAGCAATGGGATCACCAATTTAGAAGTATGAAAGAGTTATATGAAAGAAAGGTAAACACCTGTCTCAGTTTCAAACTTGTTTTTAATCAGTGATCCTGATTGGGCCATATTGATTTCAGCTCCTCAAGGAGATTTGTGGATATACAGCTTCTGAGGAATAAGGGGAATGAGTTGCTGAGTGCATTATCTGCTTCTTAGTCTGAAGATTAATAAACTATGTCACAGAAATGTCTTAAGCATGGCTAAAGATGTGTGCTAAAAATAACCTACAGCAATAGCTCAAGAGTTCCCCGTACATGTTTCATCCCCCGAAGAGATTTCTTGGTCTCTGTGACAAGTATAAAAGATTATATAACAGATGAAGGTTAGTTTGTATTTCATAGACTTTATCCAAGTCTAGCTCTCCAATTCTATAACTAGATAGCATAAACTATTTCCACAGATAAAGAAACAAAAAGTGGTAATAGTGAAAGTGTGAGGGAAAGTGGGACATCCCCACTTCTCTCTGAAGCATGTTTGCTGACAAGAAGCTTTTGCTATGGTGAGAAAAGACCTTTTGGGAAAAAATATCCTATAATAGATAAAAAGTTACTTAGAATTTTAAAACATTCTGTCATCAAAAAGAGAAAGTAAATTCCCTTAAATCTATCAGAATTAAAAAATTTGACCACAAGTGAATAATATAGCAGCAATACTCTTCTTCCTCCTTTTGATACTCAAAAGTGTTAAATGAAGAAGGTGAGGGATAAAGTTCCCCATACTGAGGGGGATAGTAAAGCAGGCTTCCTTGCAGTACTCAGCCTGGTGCAATTTGGGTCTTCAGATTTTAAAGGAGATGTTTTCAGAGAGAATGTTTAAGCTGCCTTCCTGAACTGTTTGCAGGAGTGTGAGGATTTAGTGTTAACAACAACTTTATCCCCATTACTGAAGAAACATCTGTCTCCAGGACTTCTCTCAGTGGACTGTTGTCTCTCTGACATCAAACTAGGCATTTAGTAGCATGTCAAGTGCTGAAGGTTACTGAGGAGTTAAAAGCCACGACTGTTTTCCTTTGGTGTAGGCAAATTCTACCTAGTCCCTCACTGCCCTTTCCAGCTCATTTTGAGAGATGAAGACAGAATAACAAGCGTGGAGGTCCTCTTGTCTAAGGACTAAGTCTGTATTTATTTCCTCAGAAATAGCGTGATTTGACCAAAGGAAGGAAGAGCAGGGGGCTGTTTTGGTGTAAGGTATTTGCTTTTCCGGTCAACAAAGCTCCATTTTAAATGCAAATATCTTGATCAATTTGGGAAGCCCAGGAATGGGGCGTTTCTGTTCCCAAGTGCATAAGCCAGGAATAAATCCAGGGATGTGTGGACTTTGGAAGAGGTGTCCACACCTATCTGTAAACGTCTTCCTCAGGTCACGGAGCTAAAAACAAAACTGGAAGCGTCAGAAAGGTTCCAGAACAAACTGGAGAAGCAGCAGCATCAGTGTCAGAGGGAGAGCGAGAGGCAGCGCGACCTGACCCCGGACCAGCTACTGCGGGAAGAGGTGGGCGGGGCTCAGAATCTGATTAAACATGGGAGGTGGTTTCCGGTTAACTAACGATCCATCCTTTTACTAAAATCAGACTCACTGATGAGCAACGACCATTGTGCGAGGTGTGTGGGTTTCGCAAGTCTCCAAGGGCCATAAATAAGGGTCACTTCTCTGGAAATCTCCAATAAGAGGGAAGAAGATGCCCTTCCCCTTCCTACTTTGTGGCACAGATAGACAAGCAGCAGCTTGCCAGGCCCTACCAGGAATATTTGAGTGCTGGGCTGCTTGATAATCTTAACTAACAACTCACTACAAAAGACCTGGTGATCTGCTTCCCTGAAGATTCAACACATCCTATTCTTCCTCTCCCACAAAGTAGAGTCTAACTCTTAATGACCCTATAGGATAGGATAGAACTGCCTCCTTTGGGTCCCAAATGCTGTAATCTTTCCAGAATCAGACTGCCACATCTTTCGTCTACCCAGTGCCACTGGTCAGTTCGAACCACTGACCTTCTGGTTAGAAGCTGGGCACTTATCACAGGCACCAGGGATCATCTCCCTAAAATCATATACTAGGAAACCCTATGAGGCAGTTTTATTTGTCATATAGGGTCGCTATGAGTAGAAATCAAATAGATGGCAGAAAACACCAACCAGGAAAGAGAGCCCATCTGTGGATTTGGTGATATCTTTTTAGGACCATTTCAGCTTAGGAGAAAATTAATTTGTTTCTTGAATTTTTATTCACCTTTTTACAGAATGTTTATTACTAGGGTTTATTACTAGTGTTTATTGCTAATGTTAACATGACAATACTTTGAATTAATACAGTAGAATTTCAGTTTATAGAAACTTTGCAAACAGGCATTAGTTTGTAAATACAATAGGTATTGTTATACAAAATTCCTATACCTATACAGTGTTGTTGTTATGTGCCATCAAGTCGGTGACTCATAGCGACCCCTTCTTGGGTTTCCAAGGCAGTATCACTACGGAAGTAGATTGCCCTATCTTCCTTCCGAGGAGTGGCTGGTGGGTTTGAACGGCCAGCCTTCTGGTTAGCAGTCAAGTGCCTTATGCACTATGTTACCAGAGCTCCCAACAGTATGATAGTACACGGGAAAATGGGATTTGAACCTCATCTCCAGATACTAAGGTTCCATTAATCCCTGCTGAGCACTAGACTATTACAGTTAAGATGATGGCTTCTCATAACTCAAACTTTTTCATCCTATTTTTACTTTCAGTTATTAGATTTTAAGGATTTTTAAGAAGATGCAAGGAAAACTTTAAACTCTAATGGCCTCTCATTTTTTTAGGTATATTAAGAAACAAAAACGGTAAATAGTCTCAGGTGAAGTCATATATCTGCCATTGTGAGGTATGTCCATTATTTTAAGACATGGCACAATTTGGAAGTCAATGTCTTAAATCCAGTGAAGATAATGCCAGTCCAGGTTTTTGCTATAGATGTCTTTGTCACAGTGAGTCAGAGATAATAAGGCTTAGCAACTCCCTTTCTGCCTTAAAACAGTCACTTCCTTTTCTATTTTCAATCTGCCCAGGAAACTTAGTATTTTCCCTTCTTAACTACAGAAGCATTTTATAGTCAAATTATTTTCTTTTAAGTTATGCAAAGTTAGAACATGATTGGTTCATTTTCTAAGTGTGTGAACCCATTCTATTTACATAGAAGCAAATAGAAATGTTTTCACTTTTCAAAAAAAGAGATTATGTAAAGCAGATTTCTTAAATTTAATAACTGTAGAGAGAAATGCCTATTATTAAAACAACCTACTTCAGTACCTGTATTAGCTATTTACTCATCCTGCTTTACCCAAATTCTGCAATATTTATTTTATTAGGTTAAAATATCAATGTCATTCTTCATGAAAGAATCCAATTCACTCCAGACCATGCTTACAACCTAAAATATCAAGTTGGAGATGAGAGACAATTTTGTCTAAGCAATTGATCTTGCTTCAGTTATGTAAAACTCTGGACCTTATGGTGCTGATTTAAAACATGAGTAAAGGATGGCAATTGGACTAGCTGATCTCTACCTTTTAAAAGTAATAAGCACAGTAATAAAATGGTATGAGGAATTATCTGCAGTGAAGGGTCTTTTTGCCTGAAAGTTTATCCTCTCCTCTCTCCGCTACAGAGGGGATGCAGCCCTGAGCTTTGAGAAGCTTATTATTGTTATGTTGCAATAGCACTTTTTCTTTCTTTCTTTTTTTTTTTTTTTTTTAGGACTTCCACTACTTGTCCTAATTATCTAGTGCTGCTATACCAGAAATACCACACGTGGCTGGCTTTAACAAACAGAAATTTATTTTCTCACAGGTTAGGAGGCTAGAAGTCCAAATTCAGGGTGCTGGCTCTAGGTGAAGGCTCTCCCTTCTCTCTGTCTGCTCCAGTGGAAGGTCCTTTTCTCTTTTCTTCTTTGATTCCTAGGTTCCATAGCTATCCTCTGGCATGTATTTTTCTGTCTGTTTGTGGTTGCTTGCTTACTTGCTTAATCTACTCTTTTATATCTCAAAAGAGATTGACTTAAAACAAACCCTAAACTAATATTGCCTCGTTAACATAACAAGGAAAACTGATTCCCAAATGGGATTATAACCACAGGTAAAGAGGTTGGATTTATAACATATATTTGTGGAGGCAGGAGGTTGGGAGGATAGTTCAATCCATAGCACTACTTTTACTGAATCATTTATCCATCACCCTTATAACAATAACTGGCCAGTTCTGCATACCCATTTAATCCTAGAAAGTGAGGATTAGGGATTTTTATATCATTTGCTGTGTCACAAAACTTCCAAGAAATAGTACTAAGGGTAAAATAAAAATTTCTTAAACTGCTGTCCTCCACCTAGAGAATATTACTCTACAGAATGCCCAGTGAAGGCCTAGCAGTACTGTTTTTATTGTATTTCAGGAGGAAATACAATATCTGCCAGCAACAGCTGATGTATCAGCATTCCTGCCGTGTCATCTCACCTGTATTTTGTTGAATTTGGTTTTGTTTTCTTGCTTTTTACTTTAGAAGGAAAGTGAAAGCCTAAGTGAAGAATTACATGAACTGAAGAAGGAGAATAAGCTTCTGAAGGAAAAAAATGTTCTTGCAAACAAGAAGAAGGAACAATATGAATGTGAAATAAAACGCCTCAATAAGGTATTGTTGTTGTTGTTGTTATGTGCCATCGAGTCGGCCCCGACTCATAGCGACCCCTCCTTGGGTTTCCGAGGCAGTAAGGTAAGGTATTAGACTAGGTCAAAGCTGGGAGATCAAAATGAGAGTCCCTATGGAAAGAACACATTCCTGACTGAGAATCACAAAAAAAGTCTACACTGCACCAGCTCCCAGCCTTTGGGGCTCGCAAGTGATGGTGCTCTGTAATTTCTATATGCATCTTTCAGCCACCCTTGGCTTAGGCCATGCATGTTCCCACACAGAATCAGCTTGAAAAAAACAAGTGTGGAGAAATTGTAGAGGACGGTAAGCAGCATTATTTTAGTTAGGAGGAACCACAGAAAGTGGGTGTTTGTGAACAAAAACGTATCTCTTGGTTGACCACAAAAGCTTCCTGAGGAAACAACGGCTCTTTAGAATTATCACTACCGAGCTGGGCATGGTGCAGCCTGTATGGGACGCATACTAAATGCCAAAGGCCAGGCTGAGAAGGTGGCCTTCCTAAGGAGTAACGGTGGGGAGAGGATGGCAGGAGAAAAAGCTATGGCTGTTAGGAAAATGCAAGCGGTTTAATACCTTTGCTCTAAGTTAACTATTCAAAGGTACTCTGTGAACTGGAAGTCCCTGGGTGGTGCAAATGGTTAAGGCAATCTACTTCTGAAAAAAAATCAGCCGTTGAAAACGCCATGGAGCACAGTTCTACTCTGACACAAATGGGGTTACTATGAGTTGGAATCAACTCTGTGGCAACTGGTGTTTGTGAATTGCTATAAAAGGATTGCAATTGTGTATATTATTGTTGTTTTATGGACTGATTCCTTAATTTGCTTGGGCAAGGAATGACTGGATTGTTCAGGGAAAAATGCTAATCCTTTGCTGTAAACTTTTCCAAGAGCCACATCTTATGTGGAACATAGGGCAACTTCTAGCATATGGTTGAATTGAGAAGATCTGCATCTTTCCCGCTAGATATTTTTTTGCCAATGTGAGAGAAATTGTCTTCTAAAACAAGAGTAGGTGATTGACTGGCCTTCCTGTATAAACTGTGGTTGTGGTTAACTAGTGTCTAGAGTGCCTTTTAAAGAGCCCCAAAGTGTTAAGTATATGCCAGCATAGTTGACATGGAGCTTTATAAACAGAGATGTTATGATTGATCTGTTTGTGGGACAAGTTATTCTTTGGATGAAAGTGGGAAACTGGCGATTGATTTCATAAGCAGTATATTTTTCTATCATCTGAGATAGAAAAACCATGTTCTGAGATAAAAATGGAGGGCAAATATGTATGTTTATCCTTGCTGGAAAATCCTCTACAAATGAATTAGAGGAACTAGGCATAATTGAGATGATATTTGAAATATCTTCCAGTTTTGATATACTATTACAACTTTCCTTACATCGTTTAGTTCACTTTTCCTAAATGCAGGCTAAACACAAGATACAAAGTGTATAAAAATTAGGACAGCCAAGAATTCCATCTTTTTGCTCCTGTCCATGTGCAAACTTCATTTTTTGTGTGTGTTTTTATTAAAAAAAAAAAAAAAGAAAGTGCTGTCAAATCACTTCCAACTCGTGGCAACCTATGTTTCAAGGTCGAAGTTTGCTTTACAGGGTTTCAGTACTGATTTTTCAGAAGTAGATCACAGGGCCTTTCTTTCTTCAGAAGTGTTGTTGTCGTTATGTGCCATCGAGTCAGACAGCAGTCCACCAGAATCTCTGTGTGGGCTTAAACCACCAACTTTCAGTTAGCAGCAAGTGCTCAACCTTTAAAGCCACCAGGGAAAAGTAGAAAAACGCTAATTTCATAATCTCGGTGATTATAATCATAACATCTAAATGAGTAAAATTCAAGTTTTATGCAGATGTCACCTTCTCAAAGAAAAGTTTTCTGATTATCCTAATAAAAATTACATACTCTTACCCCTGGTATTTCCCATTTTACTTTTCCCTTAGAACTCATTACTGTTTAATATATGCTTCATGTCTTCCATTTATTTATCTTGTTTTCTTTTCCATCTCCCAGTCTTGATTGTAAGCTCCATGGGGTAGGATTTTTGCAGTTCTGACTTCTCCTTTAGGCGTAGTAAGCACAATGCTTTTTGTTGTCCTTGTTAGTTGCCATTAAGTCAATTCCAACTTGCAGGGACTGTTGTTGTTGTTGTTATGTGTCATCGAGTCAAACCCGACTCATAGCGACCCCTCCTTGGGATTCCGAGGCAGTATCACTACGGAAGTAGGATTGCAGGGACTAGGGCCCACAATAATTTTAGGGGTCTCTGAAAACATTTTAATTTCTTTGAAATAAGTACAGAAAAATGAAATTTTAAGTTGGAAGAAATGGTTTTAATATGCAGTAGTTTACTTACACATCTTTATAATAATGCGTAATAAAATACAATTCAATATCTATTTATTTTATGGAGAAAGAGTCCCATAAAGGCAACAGTCATGATGGTTTTTTTTTCTGTTTTGTTCACTGCTTCACCCCAGGTGTGTAGAGTAGGGCCTTACTTACAGTAAGTACTTAAATATATGTGGAATGAATGAATAGATGGATGAGAAAATAATAGAATAAATTAATATAATAAGCTACTACATAATGTATTCAGTACCCAGTTTGGGACCTGAGATTCATGCTTTAACAGACGTAATACATAGTTTATGGGTAGTGAGGAAAAAATAAAAAGAGAGTTAAGGCCAGAAAGAATTCATTTCTCGCATCTGTACCTTAAATTGTCATTTAAAAATATACATGGAAGATGATCAGTTATGGACTTTTTTCTCATCTAGCACATATATTAGTTCTTAGTGAAATGTGAGAAATGTAATTCTTCTGTTTTACACTGTGTATTTTATTATTCTTTTTTAATCTATACATAGCTAGAAGTGTACCACAGTGTTCATTTGAGTGGCTGGTTGTGCATAACATTATTTCACAGCAAGGAATTTGGGGCCCACCCTGCTTGCACAAGCTTACTGCTTGCTGACCCATTCAGTCTGGAAATGTGTAACATGTCAGTTTAGTAATTAACATATGGTTTTCTGAAGTTCATGCAACTGAATCTTTCTATGTATACTCAAGTTAACTTTTTATTTGCTTTAAAGAAAGTACCCAAGGGCATTATTTTCATCAAGTTGTTGAAGAGAAGCCAGATGTTTAACCAAAGTGAGAAATTACCTGAGGTTAGTCAGCTAGTGCCACCCATGGGCAAAACTGATTTCTCTGACAATCTCATCATTGTGAGAGGGATAGATCTGTTTAGTATATGTGTGTTGATAGCAAGTAAGTATTATAGAATATGTTACAGGTGTTTGTTCAAGGAACTAGGAAAACCCCAAAATGGAGTGAATGTCCATCAGACTCACCTTCTATTTATAACTCATTTGCAAAATTTCTAGAAGCCTGAATAACATGAAAGGTGAACCAGGAAATTCAAATGTAACAAGACTCACAAAAATAGTCTGTTTATAGGTGGAGGAACCAGTATATTTGATTGTCTTTATTCTTTGGCTCACTCTACCCTAGATTCTTCTTATTACAATTAACACACCTGGCGGGGGGGACTATAGCTATTAAGACACTTCCTAGAACTATGTAGGTTAACAACAAATTCTAACAAAGGATCAACCAACTTTTGATGTTTCTCTAAATTCTTCCTGGAAAGGGAGAACAAAAGTGTTACTTTTCTTACAACTTCCTGAAAAATGATATTAATATCAGGTTAGATAGACCATAAATTATAAGACATTCTATTAGGAAACTCCCATTCCACTCACACAAACTCGCTACCGTAATTTTGCTTTTCTTTTTCTATCTTTATGACCATGTTGCACAGTAATGTAGGAGAATGAGTTACAAGTAGTGCTACAAAGGACTATATCGAATCTACTAAAGAAATATTTAATGATCAAATTAGTTCTACCTAAATCTTTGAACATGAATCTTTTCATTTGATAATGAATAAGTAATCATACCATGGACTCTGAGACCACAATACGATGAGGTGTTTTCAGTCACAATTTCTGAAAGCCATTTTATTGAATTCATCATGAAGAAGTGGTCTTAGAATACAGGCAATGTTGTTGGCATGTTCTGACAAAGTATAGTATATGCAGAAGCATCGTGGACAAAGGACTAAGGATGATACTCTTCTCGGTGAACCTGAGTGTTTTATTTCCTTTACCTCTCAGCCTATGGTGAAATCACCAAGTTGTACTCTATGTCAGTAAAGCATGAACTCTTTCCACCCCGCATTTTGTTGTTGTTGTTGTTGTAAGCTGCCATCAAGTGGATTTTTGACTCACAGCAACCCATGTGATAGAGTAGAACTGCCCCATAGAGTTTTCTGGGCTGTAATCTTTCAGGCGCAGATCTCCGGGTCTTTCTCCTGCAAAACCTCTGGGTAGGTTCAAACCACTAACATTTTGATCAACAGCAAACCAAATCAAAACAACAAACTCACGGCCATAAAGTTGACTGTGACTCATAGCAGCCCCCTTTGGGTTTCCAAGGCGGTATATATTTATGGAAATCTTCCTTCTGCAGAGTGGCTGGTGGGTTTGAACCACCAACCTTCTGGTTAGCAGTCAAATGCCTTAGGCACTACACCACCAGAGCTTCTAATGGCAAGCCAGCACTCTGTAATGGATGCTTTAATGGTGAATAAAATGACTATAGTTAGTCTAAAGAATGGGATGCTGAAGGAAGAAAGGGCAGAGGAGAAGTAAACAAATCTAACAGATAGTGAATTTGCATAGGTTCACATTTCTATTGCTTCCCCTCTTTTCTAATAGTGGAATGGTATGATTAGATAGCAGAAGATGATACAAAATGTTACCTGGCACCAGCAGCATCAGCTTCTTAGAAATTCAGATTCTCAGGCCCTGCTCCAGCCACACTGATTCAGAACCTCTCGGGATAGTGCCATGGAATGGGCATGTTTACTAGCTCTCTAGGTGATTGTGATGCTCACTACAGTTTGAGGATCATTGATAGGGTGTACATGTGATTGAAGCAAAGAATCTGGAGAGAGGCTTTAAATATGTTTTCCTTTGGGGGTGGGGAATGTGAGCCAACATCAAAGCCCTCCTATTTAACAATGGAGTTTGAATAACTTAAGCATCCTTATGAAGAAAAGGCAGAGATTATGACAAAAGAATATATATGATAGAAAATCACAAAAAAAAATTACTAGCTAGTTATTTGAATCAGCATTAAAGATCATTCTACCTTGCTGGTACATTTGAAACAGTGATTGTAACGTTTACAGAGCAGTGCATATAATGTAGTAAGTCTTAGATCAACAGTGTGTTTATCTTATACCATAGGCTCTTCAGGATGCCTTGAAGATTGAGTGTTCTTCGTTTCCTGAGGACTTTTTGGAGAAGTCAGAAATGAAGTGCAGCCATGAGGAAATGAGGATACAAATGGAAGTTCTCAAACATCAGGTAAAAAGTTGGAAGTGACATGATCATACGGAAAACATAGGTCCCATTGTTCATGCTTCTTTGAACATGTGTTAATGTCTGCCTCTTCAACACCTGTCAAAGGTTCTTACCTTTATGTCAATTAGATTTACCTAATTTTAAAGCTTGATAGAAAAATAGATCAGCAAGTCCAACTTCCACATTGTACAAAAAAAGCAATTGAGGTTCACCTGGGTTAGATGGCTTCCCCAAGATAACGTAATTAAAAGAAGGGTATACTAATTAACTTTTCATTAGTTAGAGATTCTACTAGAGCATTAGGTCTAGAAATTTTCAGGTAGATGAGATTTATTTTGAAAATACTAACTCAAACTCTGGACCTTCTAAAAGAATGGTGGGTGCCCTAGCAGAGGGGCTTTGATTCTTCAGCTGCTGCTGAACTCTGGGCCTTTGAACAATGAGGGTGATTATAAAAGGAATACTCTGCAATGCAGATCCAGGTCTACTCAGCTATCCCCACACATGGATGGCACTACCTACCAATTTATTGATGCACAACGGCCTCCCCTTTCACACTACTCACTCACTGCTGCCAAGTGGGCAACAAGAGAAATGAAGACATTCTCTACAATTTCTGCATGTATCAGCAGCAATTGTTGTTGTTGTTATTTGCCGTGGAGTCGGCCCCGACTCATAGCGACCCCTCCTTGGGTTTCCGAGGCAGTATCACTACGGAAGTAGGATTGCCCAACCTTCCTTCCGAGGAGTAGCTGGTGGGTTTGAACCACCAGCCTTCTGGTTAGCAGTCAAATGTCTTAGGCACTACGTCAAACAAAAATTCATGGTGACCTATGTGTTACAGAGTAGAATTGGTTCCAAATTTTCATCAGCCAGCTTAGCTGCAGTTCCTTTAGATAAGAGGTCACCCATGCATATCATCTATCTTTTTACTGTGAGAGGTTAAATAAACTAATGTAGGAAAAGGGCTGGAACAGTACATTGTAATACTGATCAATACTGCATACATACAGGAATCCCAATCCCTGAAGCATCCCTTATGTTAGAGGTGAAAGTGATGGTCTCCTGGAACAAAGGCTGGAAAATATTGTTCTGATGTTTTTGGGTATGATGTGTTGGCTGATTTGCTCCAAGTGCATATAAATTACAAGAATTCTTAATGCAATATATGGAAGCATTGAGTAATTTTGTTCTTATTTTTGTTATTTATTGCAATTACTTTATAGGAAGTAGCCTGTTTGTAAATAGGTCTAAATAATTGAGAACACGTGATAGCAAAGTTGGGTTTTCTATTTTTGCCAACCCTAACTGAATAACCTGAGGAGACCTGATTACTCAATAGTTAAGTGCTCAGATGCTAGCCTAAAGGTCAGTAGTTTGAATTTACCAGCCACTTGTCAGGAGAAAGATGCAACATTCTGCTTCTGTAAAGATTTACAGCATTGGGAACTATCTGGGGCAGTTCTGCTCTGTCTGACACAAAGCATCACTATGAGTCAGAATCAACTCAATGGCAGTGAGTGAAAAAAGTCTGAATAATCTGCTTAATTACATTCCAAATTATGTATATAGTTTAAAAATAAAACCATGAAGTATTCAGAATTTTAAAGCTTGGCCAAATTGTAAACCACTGAAGCACTGTTGGTGCTAGTCAGGATGTTAAAAAATACCACTTATGTTCAGACACTTGAATCATCTTTGGTGCTCTCATGTAATGCACACCACATGTGAGAGAGTCACTCTTACACATGGAGTCTATAGTAATGGTTTAGCTCATATTTGATACAGACAGTGACAGGTGTTCTTTTTTTCATAATCCCCTGAGAGTAGACTAGAATCTAGCTCCTTAGTTTTGTCCGGCTCTATTGCTAATTTCTGCATACACATTTTAACTGTGCACATTTCTAATCACACTCCCACAAGTAACTAATTGCCAAGTGAAACACTAAAGGATTTAAATTTACAAAGAAACTAAGCTATTGTTGGCCCCTACCTGACTAAAGTGGTGACATTAGCCATCAGAATTATGTTTGATAAAGAGTGCTCAGTTCTGATTGTATGGGTTTTGTCCCACTTAAAATCCCTCTGGAAATTGTTTACAGAGCATTAGTTTAACTGTGTCTGGAATGGAACCTCATTGTTCAACCAAAGTGTCAACTTAACTAGGTGTAGTTTCCTTGTACTGATTCTTGGAATAAAACCTTAAAAATAAAACATGTATATCTGCATCTAAATCTATATAAAAATGATTCATTTCTTTCTCTCTTGCCTATTGCATTTTGTTCTATGATAATTTAAAGTTGATGAATGTTAAGTTTTGTTACATTCTTGATGGTTGTCTTGGTTTCTTAATGCTTCTATAACAGAAATACTGTATGGGGGTGGCACTAATGAACAAAAATTGATATTCTCACAGTTAAGGTGGCTACAAATCTAAATTCAGGGCACTGGCTCTCGAAGGAGGTTATCTTTCTTGGTCAGTGTCCTGGTTACCTAGTGCCACTCTAACTAGAAATATACCACAAATGAGATAGCCTTAACAAACAGGAGTTTATTCTCTCACAATTTGGAGGCTTTAAGTCCAAGTTCAAAGTGCCAGGCTCTAGGGGCTGGAGGAAAGCCCCTTAACCTTGAGGTCCAGCTCTGCCTCCTGCTCCCAGCCCACTGGAGCTAGAGGCTTTTCTTCACTCAGACAGCTGCTGGCTGCTGAGGCTGAGAAGCCCCAAGGTTGAGAAGGAAAAAGGCACAGTCCCGATGTTAACCAAACCACACGGCAGGCCATTAACTTAAGTGCATTGTTAGTCCCAAGGTCGGCAGAGCATAGTAGGCTGCTGAGCAATGACATGGCTACATGCAGGGTCCAAGCATGCCATAAGCTAGAGACCATTCCCAAAGCTCCTGCTTCTATATGGGAAGCAGACCACATACCCAAAGGCAGCTACCCAGCTGCTTGTGGTAGATCCCACTATGGAGTTGATTGCCAGTCTCATCATGGGGAATACTACCACCAGCTGCCCAGCCACTCAACCAGGCCTAGCCATGTTGACACACAAACATAACCATCACAGTCAGCATTGGGAAAAGGTCCTTGTTTCTTTTCAGCTTCTGTTCCTTGGTTCCTTGACAATCTTCATGTGGCGTGTCTTCTATCTTCCCCTAATTTCCTCTTTTATATCTGAAAAGTGATTCGTTTAAAATACTTCCTACTGATATGGTCTCATTGACATAACAAAAATATTTCTATTCCCAAATTGGATTGTATCCACAACTGTGCCACCAGAGCTCCTTATCCACAGGTATAAAACCAAAAAAAAAAAAAAAAAAAACTTCACTGCCATTGAGTCTGATCCAAATCATAGTGACCCCACTGGGTTTCTGAGGTGGTAAATCTTTATGGAAGTAGATTGCCTCACCTGCCTTCTGAGGAGTGGCTAGTGGGTTTGAACCACGAGCCTTCTGGTTAGCAGTCAAATGCCTTCGGCACTACGCCACCAGAGCTCCCATCCACTGGTATAGAGGTTAGAAATCCAACACATATTTTGGGTGACACAATTCAATCCATAACAGTGATAAAAACCAAAACCAAACTCACTGTCGTCAAGTTGGATCAGACTCATGGAGATCCCTCCTTGGGTTTCCAAGGTGGTATGGCTACAGAAGTAGATTGCCCAACCTTCCTTCCCAGGAGTGGCTGGTGGGTTTGAACCACCAGCTTCTGGTTACCAAATGCTTTAGGCACTAAGCCACCAGGGCTCCCTATAACAGTAGTGAAAGTGCAGTGTACTTTTGTGTTGTTGTTGTTGTGTGTCGTCGAGTCGGACCCGACTCATAGTGACCCCTCCTTGGGTTTCCAAGGCTGTATCACTATGGAAGTAGATTGCCTAACCTGCCTTCCGAGGAGTGGCTGGTGGGTTTGAACTGCCAGCCTTCTGGTTAGAAGTCAAGTGCCTTAGGCACTACACTACAAGAGCTCCTACTTTTGTGTTAGTAGACAAAAATGTAGCTTCTGGGTTTCAATGTAAGTAGTTATCTACTGTCTTAGAGGAAGGCATTTGCTTCATAGAAAACTTATTCTCTAAGTTTAATTTGTTTTCATAGCTTATCTGACTATTCTCCAAGCCATTAGTTTATATTATGCCAATTAAACACAGGAAGAATCATCAATCTTGCTTTCCATTTTAGTTTGATGACTTCTCAGGAATATTTAGAGTACCTCTAAAGAAATGTTCCACTAAAATATTACCGTATTTTCTTTTTTTATATATTACACACTCCCACAATTTCTCATAAAAGACAACGCTGTTAATAACAAAGCTTTGTTTTCCCCCGTACATCAGCCTTTGGCTTCTATTTTGTGCTCAACTCATAATTCATATTTGGAAACTCTAGCATGTTACTATCCAATGGTTTCATTTTAAAGCTACTGTTAGTAAATGACCTTTTAGAACTGCAAGCTGTCTTCGTACAGCAGAATTTTATATTGTGGATGAAGGACTTGCTCCAAAACAGTGACACTTAACACTAGGCAGAGGCTTCATCACAATAGGGGGCTATGCAGCAGTTTAATGGGTAAGAGGAACTGTAGTTTCAAAATATGCACATGATTACTTTACTTCTGAGTTTCTGAAACATGCTCAAGGAGGAAAATGTTGAGAACTGCTACTCGAAACCAAGTGAAAAATAAAAATCAAACTTGTATGTATTAGCATGGAGTCCCACCATGAATCAATATTTATGAAAAGAATAGAATGCTTCAAATTGGAAAGACTTAGATACCATCTCTTCTGAAATCATTTAACAATGGCTTAAGAGAAAAGAAAAGTAACAGTAACCACAAGCTGCTATCTCCTAGGTGCAAATATATGAAGAAGACTTCAAAAAGGAGCGATCAGACCGAGAAAGACTCAACCAAGAGAAAGAAGAGCTGCAGCAAATGAATCAAACGTCTCAGTCTCAGTTAAACAAGCTGAATTCTCAGGTATAAGTCAAAACAAAATAATCTTTGCCAACACATGTGCTTTTTTTTTTTTTTTTTATTTTTTCATTAAAAAAAAAAAAAAAAAAAAGACTTTTGGCTTCCTTTAATTGATATTCTACTTATTTTTTGAGAAATCAGCACCTGGGATGAAATCATTCTTAAACAATGTTGTAAGAAGATGAAAATGACTGGAGGTTTCTTTTAACTTAAGCACGTTAAGGAGTTACCCAAGAAATTAGATTCCAAGGTCTTTTATAAAATCCAATTCTTTTGATATTTATCTTGGTAGAATTGGATTTTAATTACATGGAACTCATATTCAAACTCAAAACATTCCATTACAGTGAAGTGGTTTCTAAATTCTTATTATTTTCTTTGAAAGGCTATGTTGGAATGTTCCTGTCTTCCCAAAACACACATATTTCTAAATGCCATGCATATGTCTATTGAAATCAAGAATTTCACTCAGTGAACTCAGAGATTTAATGTAACTGGAACACACTCAAGGAAACCAGATGATAATAACTAATGTGTTGGAATAGAATATATTAAATGCAAGCACTCTAAAATTAAGTGTAATAGACTGTATTAAAAGTAAACTTAGAAAATTGCCATGATACATAACTATTGATGTTAATGAAGGAAAATGTAGCTAATGCAATTTTGGCTTAAGAAACTAAAATGAACTACATTTTTTTTTGTTTGAAATATTATATAATGCTTTTCAATAAATAGGAAAGTGTTGTGGGAAATGTGGCTGATCTGTAGTTCCAAGATGCTTAGTCTTAGAAGAATTAGTTATCCTATTATTCCTATTAGGAAGTAGATTGCAAATTAAATTGAATTGCTTCTCTGACAATTTTTTCAAAGATCAACTTGAAATTCCTAATTTAATATGGAAAAACTCTTTAGTGGAAAAATTTCCCTCTAAGGAATTAAATGGAATAAAATTGTGGTGTAACAAAATAATTCTATGAAAATAATTAATGAAAATTACTCTATTTACCAATGAGTGGGAGCTCTGGTAGCATAGTGCCTAAGGCACTTGACTGCTAACCAGAAAGCTGGTGGTACAAACCCACCAGCCACTCCTCGGAAGGAAGATGAGGCAATCTACTTCCGTAGTGATACTACCTTGAAAACCCAAGGAGGAGTCGCTATGAGTCGGGTCCGACTCAGTGGCATATAACAACAACAACATACCAATGAGTGAGAAAATGGTATGATTATAACCTTGGTGAAAAAATTACCCTCTCAGCTTTTATTTCTTATACAATGCTGTCTTAATTTTTTAATATTGTCACTGTATAAATTATTTAATTTCATATTACATTCAAATTGGAAATAAATCAATGTCTAGGATGAGTAATATCGTTGCAATTACAGAATTTTAGTTCAATCAGGAACACATACTCATCTACTTAAGTAATAAAGTTATAATCCAGGTATGATTTTTTTTTTCCTATCTTCTCTATAATTTTTCAGTTTTTGATATAAATGTATTCAGGCATTTGACTGTTAACCAGAAGGCTGGTGGTTCAAACCCACCAGCCACTCCTCAGAAGGGTGGTTGGGCAATCTACTTCCATAGTGATACTGCATCAGAAACACAAGGAGGGGTCCCTATGAGTTGGAGCCGACTTCACGGCAGTGAGTTTTGAGTTTAAAACAAAACAGAACAAAAAATACGAAGAATCATTGACATCAAATTGATTATGACTCTTAGTGACCCTATAGGACAGAGTACAAATAAAATAATATTATTTGTAGTCCAAATAGGAGCTCTAGTGGTGTAGTGCCTAAGGCATTTGACTGCTAACCAGAAGGCTGGTGGTTCAAACCCACCAGACACTCCTCGGAAGGAAGGTTGGGCAATCTATTTCCATAGTGATACTGCCTACGAAACCCAAGGAGGGGTCACTATGAGTTGGATCCGAATGGACTTTAAAATGAATTTTTTGGTTCAAATCCTTCTGCCACTAGCTGCTTACATATCAGAGACTATTCATGCTATCAAGGAGCTCTGGTAGTGTAGTGCCTAAAGCACTTAACTGCTAACCAGAAGGCTGGCAGTTCAAACTCACCAGCCACTCCACGGAAGGAAGATAGGGCAATCTACTTCCATAGTGATACTGCCTCAGAAACCCAAGGAGGAGTCGCTATAAGTTGGGTCCAACTTGACGGCACATAACAACAGCAACAACATTCGTACTATTACTGAGAACTTTTTTAAAACAAAGATACTCATAGAAGAATCAGTGTGATGAAGTGACAGAGACTGAGGCGAAGGAGGAATTTAGGGTATATGTAAATATACCCTAAATTCCTCCTTCCTCTCAGTAGCATAGTACTAAGGCACTTGACTGCTAACCAGAAGGCTGGCTGTTCAAACCCACCAGCCACTCCTCAGAAGGAAGGTGGGGCAATCTACTTCCGTAGTGATACTGACTCAGAAACCTAAGGAAGGGTCACTATGAGTCATGTCTGACTAGATGGGCACAACAACAACATACCATATTTGTACCTGTTCTGATATTCTAGATGATAACCTTGTTATTCAACTTTTTTATGCTCTATCTATAAAATGAAGGAGCTCTGGTAGCACAGTGCCTAAGATATCAAACTGTTAACCAGAAGGTTTTTGGGTCAAACTCACCAGCCACTTCATGGAAGCCAGACTGGGCAATCTACTTCTGTAAAGATTTACCACCTTGGAAACCCAGTGATGGTTGCTATGAATTGGAATTGACTTGATGGCAGTGGGTTTTGTTTTTCTTGAATGTATAAAATGACAAAGCTGGACTACATGATCCCCAAAATATTCCTTATAACCCTAGAGCCTCTATATTTCTAAAAATACTTAACATCTATCATATACCAATCTGTAAATACATGTATATAATGATACCTATCTCATAGATTCATAAAGTTGTTTTCAGAGTTCAGGAAAAGAAAAAAAATGCATCTCACTCAGGTCATGGCTCACAGATATTAAGTATCACAGATATGTAATGAATGAGTTTAGTCATTTAACATTTAACATTTTAAAGGTTTAACTTTAGTCATTTAACATTTAACAGTTTCATTTAACTGTATAATTGGCATACTACTTTCAGTTCACTGTAATCTAATTTTGATGCTTTCTTTTTGCAAGGCATTCTGTTAGGTGCTATGAGGACATGAAAGACTGATCTTTTCTATTCAAGGTTCACAGTGTAGTGGGGGAGACAGTAAGTCATATAGTAAACATACAATGATAAAAGGGAAGAATGAGGAAGGAGACAATAATTCTGATGGGTGGGACCTGGAATGGCATTATATAGGAGGGAACATTTGACATGCCTTGTAGTGGTGAGGAACATGAGGTGTAAGGACATGATACCATAACTAAAGAGTCAAAGAAGAACCTGTTTTCTCTAGGTATATCAGGTATGAGGGACAACTAGGGAAGGTGAGGACATGAGGTTGGTCCTTACTTAGTAAGAATCCATAAAGCCTTGCAATATAACCTTGAACAAGTTACTCATCATTTCCATGTTTCAGCATCCTTGTCTGTAAAGCTAAAGGACATTATCTCATAGGAGTGTTGGGCGAATCCAATGAGTTATTACATGGAAATCACTTAGCTGGGTATCAGGCCTGGAGAAAGTGCATATGTAACTTGTAAAGTTTATTGTGGAAGTCTTTGAATGTCAGGCTGACCAATTCCAATTTCATTTGTAAGCAATGGAAGCTCTTTCTATATCTAAATCTAAATGCAAATATATCAACCAAAAGCTGAGAATTAGAATAGCCTCAACAAATTGAAATGAGAGTTTAAAACTATTCAACTTTCGAAACTTAATTTGGGAATTTGAAGATAGATTCACTGCATGTCTGGAAAAAACAACATGTGGCTGTTTTAGTTTTGTTTTATTTTTGCATTACTGCTATCAGTGCTTCACATCTTGAGCTTCTTAGTAGGTCACTGACAACTGGGGCAAGGGTAGCATCAGTCTGAAAGTATTTGAAATCTTTATTTGATAAACAAATGCCTTTGTTTTGTTCACAGATAAAAGCTTGTCAAATGGAGAAAGAAAAACTAGAAAAGCAATTAAAACAGGTATGTGGATCCTTACCAAGTCCACCAAGCCCTCTTTCCATGATTGAAATGTCAATTTTAACTTCCACCCCAACATCATTTCCATGTACAGCAGTTCCTCATGGTCTAAATTAAAGGCATATTCAAACTCTGCTACAGATGGCCTAGAACAACCTATGCTTTTCATTATCAACTAAAATATTCATATTGCTAAGGAACCAAGTCCTCTCAATTCAAACAGTCATGAAAAACACATGTTTTGCAGAACATGTTACCAGTAGCACAAGCCTCAGTGTGTGTTCACTCAAATGGAGATTTCCTCATAGACACACAAACACCTGGGAAATAAATTGTGTAGTGGCTTACACAATTTACATTGGAAAGCTACAGTCAACAGTTTCACCTCTTTCAAGAAATAGAATATCTTCTAGGGCATTTGATCCTATTGGCTCTTGAGGATTCTAAAAGAATATTATTTCTTTTCATTCCTAATTTCCTCCCTGGTAATAATTTACTTATGCCACAGGAGTCTCAGCCTGCCAACTTAAGAAAACCTATTTTATGGCTCACTGGATGGTTCTTCATAAATGAAAACCCTCTGTGATGACAGCTAGGAAACCTAAAGTTAACTTCATATGCCCTTCAACTGTTTCCAATTTCTTCAAAATGGAAAAAATACATCTACCAAGTTTATAGTTTCATGTTTTATAAAATTTGGTCAGTGACCAAAAAAAACCAAACTCACTGCCATCAAATTGGATCCGACTCATAGCAACCCCTCCTTGGGTTTCTGAGGCAGTATCACTATGGAAGTAGATTGCCTGATCTTCCTTCCAAGGAGTAGCTAGTGGGTTTGAACTGCCAGCCTTCTGGTTAGCAGTCAAATGCCTTAGGCACTCATCTGAATCCACCCAGTTTATAGTGACATGTGTCTTGACTATAATCCTTATGGAAACAGATTACCAAGTCTTTCTTCCAGGGAACCATTGGGTGGGTTCGAACCACTAACCTTTTGGTTAGTAGCTGAGCACTTAATCATTTGCTCTACCAGGACTCCTATTGACTGATTTCTTTACATTATATTACATTACAAAAAGGGGTTAAATTGCATTGCTTTAGATTACATTATGGAGCAGCAACTAGTCTAATATTTGGCCAAACCACTGGGAACCATAACCAACTTGACACATAAAATTAACCATCACAACATGCTTACTATTTTGAATTAGAAGTATGACTTGAGATTTAAACCTTGAAAGTTAAACAAAACCTTGTTGCTGTATAAAGCAAGTAAGTGTCAATGTGACTCCTCAATTTTACCCGCTTCCAGTGAAATGACATCATTGTTCTCCTCAGATGTATTTCCCAACCTGTAACTGTGGCTTGGTTTTCCACCTCCGGGACCCGTGGGTACCAACAGGCCCTAGGGCTGTGCAGGATCTACAGAAGCATCCAGTACGTAAAGAGTTTCCATTTTAATAGATGAATTTTAATACTTTGTTTTGGTAAAAATGTCTGTCTCTGGAATTTGGGCACATAGTATTGTTACAGAAAGAGCCTCTATTTTATTTCAGCCTCTGATTTGTAGAGTTATAGTGATTAGTATACACTATAATCGTCTTTGGAACACTGTATCCACAGCATACATAGATATGAGTAAATAACTATAAGATATCAAATTGAGCTGGAATCCCTCAAATGGATATATAAAATTTCATATGTGTCGTTTTTAATGACACACCTGATTCTACTAAAAAGACATTTCTATGTTTGGATAAAAAAAAAAAAAATGAAAGGAAAGTGAATATAGAAAACCGGTTTGGGAGGTACTATAATGCTGCCTTTACAAAGCTGTAATTTATAACTTTATAAAAATAACTTTATAAAGTAGTTGTAACTACTATGGTTATCACTACATCTGTGTAAAATAATTTTTGACAATTTCCAATAGAAATAATTTTTTTTCAAGTATCCAAGAGAAAATGACCAAGTTTTTCTCTATGGCTATGTCTACCCAGGCAAAATAATATGGAAAGTAGACCAGTTATTTTTTAGTAGAATTGATTTGGACAGTCAACCTGAACAAGTCAGACCAAACAGACCTTTCCTTTCCCTCTCAATAGCATTGCCCCACCAACTCTTCTCCTGTGATCTGAATTCTTGTCTCTGCTCTCTATTTTGCCTAGACAGAAGCTTTACTCATGGAGAGAATGATGCACTTTTCTGCATTTCAGATTTGCTTAGACAACTTCCCACACTTCTTAGCTTTTCTTAAATGTGTTTCTAATTATGCAAAGACTCTTTATAAGATGAGGTTTTAGCTTGAATTTTCTTAGCATAGCACTAATAGAGAGCATGGTTCTCTTGATTGTCTGAAACCTCTGGTACATTTGTATTTGATGATTCAAAGCCCTTTTCCCAAGGGAGGAAATAATGACTCCTTGGGTGGTGGGAGGACGTGAGAATTTAGTTAGCATTTCTTATTTGACCCTGATGTGACATAGAATACAGCTGAGAATTTGGTTCTTTATGTGTGGTTGTCCAGTGGCTACTTCTGTCTGTTCTCCCTCCCTTGTTTCCTCTTTTTATTTTTCTTTCTTTTTCTTTTATATATTGTGGTAAAATATTTATAATGATAAATTTGCCATTTTAACCATCTTTAAAGTACAATTGCTTGACATTGATTGCATTCATCATGTTGTGCACCCATCACCACTGTCCATGCCTGATTTTTTTTTTAATCACCTCAAACAGAAACTCAGTATTCCTTAAGCAGTTAACTCCCACTCCATCCTCCCCCCAGTAAACAGTGATAAACTTTTGTCAGTATGCACATTCCTATTCTAGCTATTTCATATAAGGTAGAACACACAATATTTGTCCTTGTGTGTCTAACTTATTTCATTCTGCATAATGTTTTCAAGGCTCATCCATGCCATAGCATGTGTCAGAACTTCATTTCTCTTTATGGCTGAATAATACTGTGTTCCATTGTGTATATATGCCACACTTTATTTATTCCTCTATTGGTGGACGCAGATTGCTTTCACTTTTGGCTATTGTGAATAATGTTGCAATGAATATTGGAGCACAGATAGTTTCCTTTTTTTCTTTACTTCTCTGCTTACTTTTGCAATCTCTGCCAGAAACATTCTGTGAAGCTCTAATTCCGCTAGAATTTTTTAAACATCTTTTTACAAATGTAGAGGTAAAGTATGATTGAGAAAACATAAAGAAATAGAAATTTACTTAAGATTTAGCTCCTGCAGTTTTAGGGAATTGGAGAAATATTCTTGTGACAGGTTAACTATAAAACTAAAGAGTTATTCACGTTTATTTAGGACTAAACATGCCTGTTTTCTTCAGAGCTTCAGTCATGGAAGAAAGGAATTCACCCACTATAAAGGCTCATCACACTTTATCAACTAGAGAAAGTAAAAAAGTCTAGATCAAGAAAAATTATCACCAAATAAAGATTGAGATTTGAAAAAGGATTCTAAGCTATATACAATGGCCTCTTTTTTTTTTTTTTCTTGCAGTATTCAGTTAAGCAAACTCTAAATATAAAAGTAGAATTTACAAAAACCTTTAGAGTTAATTTTAAAAGAATATTTCAAGTTTTATGTTTATATCAAAGTCTGAATTAAATCACATGCGATAGTGTTTTTAAAATCATAGCATATTTAGCTTCTTTTGGCAACTCTCCTGGAATATAAAACTGAGGCTCACGTCACTTATCTTCCGTGCTATTCGAGACATCTAAAAATAAATGAGAAGATAAAAAGTCGAGGTGATCTCATTTCCTCTTCTAGCTTTTTCATAGACCAAAAAGAGCCAAGAGGCTAGGTGTTTGAGTGGGGGTAAAGTGGGGTCAGATTCTACTGAAGGCAGCATTTCTCAGTGGCTTGTCAGGTAATTGAATTTTAGGCTACTTTTGTGGTCAGGCAGCCCTCTAAATGTTCCCTGTTGGATCATTGGTAGAAAAATTTTTCTATTTTGAGGAGATAATTGAATAACAGAACAGAAAGTCTGTATTGTCTGTGTCTAATGGCAAAGTAGGAGGCTAGGGTGAACTTTTGGAGCAGGAAGACAGACCAAGTTTGTAGGCAGGTAAAGCTGAGATAGCTCCATTGTTCCCAGTGGTTAAATAGAAAGAGACTGGCCTTGGAATGGTATCTTGATCATTCAGGTCGTGAACTTATTATTTATTCAGTGCAATTTGTTTAACGTATTCCCTCATAATTAATATTTAGTGGTTCTTAACTAGTGTAAATGTAGGAGCAAGGCCTAAGAGAAAAATCTTTAAGTTCTCCCCTCTCCTTCCTACACTGCTTCTCTACTCTCAACCATCTGAGTGAAGTAGAGAAGGGAAAGATTTACTCTGCTTCACCATCCTGAACCTCTACATGTCATGTCCTCATATAATGGCTTATATTTCTTCCTTGAACAACTTAAACTTTTTTTTTTTAACCTGTCTTCCCATTGCCTCCAGTGTAAGGATTTTAAAGAGTATTTATCGATGGTAAATTGCTTTGTTTTAGTTATGGACTATAGTAACTTTTTCTAAAGCGTTTATACTTCTGCAGATCTCCAAAACACATCTGTTAAAAAAAGAAGAAGAAGAAGAAAAGATAACATACCACAATGCCTAAATGCCTTAGTAGATCTGGCCAAACACTAAGGTGCATTGAGAAGGGACTAGGGGGAGATGGTGGGGGTGATGAGGAGGGATAAGAGAGATTGACAACAGGTTTGGATAGAAATTACTTTTATGTTACCCACATAATAAAAGCCACATCATATAATTATATTTTTAATGCACCACTATGTTTCATTTGAAGTCCATATTGCTATAATAATGTTTTATTGTTCCACGCAGTCAGACTATCAGTGGTATGCTCCTGACCAGTTTCCGCCAGATGTGCAGCACAAGGCAAATGGTAAGACCACAGCTGTATTGAGCATTCTTTCATGTTTACATGTAAATGGGATCTTTTAGGGATGTTTACTCAATGCACATTCATTCGTACTTTGGGAGAACTTACTATAAAGTTGTGGTGCATACACAACTCTAATTTGATGCATCTGGGATTAAATTGAACTCGTTAAGAAAAAGAAAACGTTTGAATACAGAAATGCATGAATCTCAATTTTGGCTCCCATTCCTATCCCAGTCTCAGAGTCAGTATTCCATCTGGCGTTGGAAATGAAAACTTTTAGCAGAGCTGTATTGTAACAACAACAAAGCTCTTTGATTCCACTACAAAGGACAGATGAACATCCACTATTCCAGGTTAAGTTTGCTAGACAGATGTTTTAAGTGCCACTGGCAGCCAGAGAGAGGAAACAAGAGTCTCAGAACTGTGTTCCCTAATGACTTAATGTCAGACTCTAAGCCAGTGCTCTTAGTGTAGGCCAGCCTTGCCCACAACACCCACCTTGAAGTATGATGGGGAAAGCTACAAGTCACCTATAAAATACTCATAATTAAGAGCAAGCTTTTATCTTTTTTTCTCTGGTGTAACATCTCCTCCTTCTTTCCAGAATCTGCTATATTTTCTACTGCTTGTTTCTATGCCTGATGAGGCCACCCAGGAATGGGCTATAATCATAATCACATTTCTTTTCTCAACAGATATATTCAAAAGTCAGCAATGTCTGCTACCTGTTTAAAGTCTCATATGATACACATCTGTTAGTCTAGCTAGTTAATTTCCAAAGATTTGAATGTACCTGGAAATGCTAAAGATGAGTGATATTCTGATTTCAGGCTTTACTTGAAATTTGATTGCATTTAGTTCAGAGTTGAGATGGCAGAATTCTAGTTTTTAGTACAGGAATTTATTATGGAGTGTAGGTAGGGAGTCATGGCTGCCACATCTAGTTTTGCAGGTTGTAAAGTCCAACTGGCTCTTCATGGTAGTCTCTGTGAATGGAGCCTCATAGTGTTGTGCAGTGCCCAGCCTACAGACAGTAGCCCAGGAGTTGCAAAGGCCATAGCTTATAGCATACAGAAAAGAAATATAAAATATGAGAAATCTATAATGAGCTATCCAGATATTGATCTGAAAACTATAGATATTTCTTTTCTTTCTGCTACAAGTACAATGATTGGTTTTAATGGAGTTCTTGGGTTTTAGCCATAAGGGAAAGCTTTTACTAGAAAGACATATTATTAACCATAATGATTGTTACATAATGTCTGTGTTTTTTAACTCTATTGGTGTATAATAGCTGAGTTACCACCCAATTATAATTTTCCTTTTATATTGGCCTGGAATGAATATTAAAGACTTTTTCTCCCTGAGTTGGAGTTCAATCACTAGAAAATAAATTTATTCAATAAAGGAATCAATTAGATCAAAAGACCATTAATGTGTCATTATTGGATTCTACTTGGACCAATGTTACCAAAGCTAATAATTATATAAAAGAGAAATGAGTTGTGATAACCTTCAAAAACTAAATAAAATTTGTAAAAATGAAATTTTATAGTATGTAAATGAGACCTGCATATTTTTGTCTACATGGGAAGAAATAATGAGCTTTTTTATATATAAACATACTATGTGACAGTATCAATAGAAGTAAAATTCCAAGAATATGTAAGCGTCTTTTATGTTGAAACCTAAGTATTTTAAATGCACTATTTATTTTAATATTCATAACAGTAGTTTGTTTTATTATCATACTATTTTACGATGAGAAAACTGAGACTTAGAGAATTTAAGTAATGGCCCTAAATCACACAGCTAGTAAGATTTATCAAGGGGATTAAATTACAGATGTGATTTAATCTAAACCTGTGGTTTGGGTCACATACTACAGTGGCTCTGATAATCTACCTCTCTCACTGTACTAAAATATTCTAAAATTTTAACTATACAAATGAGAAGCAGGTCTTTAACTTGGATGATTACATGACTAATATCTAACCCACAATAATCTCTCATTTTTACAAACTTGCTGCATATATTACTTGTGCTATTCATTTGACATTTAGAATATCACCAGTAAAAAACAGGGCTATTTAAGGGTGAGTATGTAATAAATACGTTATGAAGAAATATGGGTAGACCTGATGGAACTTGACAGGGCATATTAATTTCCTAGGCCTCCTGTAACCAAATACTACAAATTAGGTGACATATAATAGCAGAAATTTATTGTCTCACAGTGCTGGGGATAGGAATCTGAAATCAGGGTGTTCGTAGGACTATGCTGTCTCTGAAGCCTCCAGGGGAAGATCCTTTCTTCTCTCTCCTAGCTTCTGGAGTTTCTTGGTTGAAGCATAATTCCATCTCTGCCTTGTCTTCGCATGTCACCTTCCTTCTCTGTGTCTGTCTCCTTGTCTCTTCTCCTCTTTGTAAGAACACCAGTCATACTGGATTAAGACCCACCCTACTCCAGCTTCACATCCTGTTAACCTAACTAATACCGTCTTCAAAGACCCTATTTCTAAACAAAGTCAAATTCACAGGTATTGGAGAGCCAAGAAGGAGCTCTGATTATGCAGTCCTTAAACACTCAGCTGCTACCTCAAAGGTCAACAGTTCAAACCCACCAGCTCTGCTGGAGAAAGATGTGGCAGTCTGCTTCTATAAAGATTCACAGCCTTGGAAACACCCTCTAGGGCAGTTCCATGCTGTCCTCTAGGGCCCCTATGAGTCAGATAGACTAGACGGCAGTAGATTTTTTTGGTTTGGGGGTGGCTAGGATGGAGCCCTGGTTGTGTAATAGTTAAGCACTTGGAAGCTAACTGAAAGGTCAGCAGCTCGAACCCACTAGCTGCTCCATCATTTGCATGTGACAGAGATGTGCAGATTATTGAGATATGAAGATGATACAACCTTGCTTGCTGAAAGTGAAGAAGCCTTGAAGCATTTACTGATTTGAAAAAGGGGAAAACCCTCAGCAAGATGGATTGACACCATGGCTGCACAGACGAATTCAAGTACAGCAAGGATTATGGGATGGCACACAACTGGGCAGTGTCTTGTTCTGTTGTATATAGGGTTACTATGATCTGGAGCTGACTTGACAGCACCTATCAGCAACAACAACAACAACTTAATAAAGGAAGTTTTGGCACAAACTGTGAAGTGCTAGGTTACTAAATGAAAGGTCGACAGTTTAAATCTACCCAAAGGGACTGCAAAAGAAAGGCCTGGCATCTGCTTCCAAAAAATCAGCCATTCAAAACCTATGGAGCACAGTTATACTCTGACACACATGGAGTCGCCATGAGGTAGAATAAACTCAATGAAAGTTGGTTTCTGACATTGAAACATAGCATGGAAGTCCAGAGTCAAATTCAGAACATTCAGATTCATCCTAATTCTGAACAAAAACATGGTAGCACAGGGACAACTGAGTCTAAGCCCTTGTCTGCCGCCTATTTTTCTCTTCCCACCTTCACACTTCTGTGGGCCTTGAGTGTGGACCTTTAGTGTGCATTTGAGGACAGCCCAGCTGGCACATCCTAACTGTATCTATACAATCTTTTTTTTTTTTT